TAAAAAAGCCAAATTTGGACAATTGTGTTCAAAATGAAAGACCAAATTTGGACAATTGTGTTCAAAATAAAAAGCCAAATTTGGACAATTGTGTTCAAATCAAAAAGCCAAATTTGAACAATTTTGTTTAAAATAAAAAGCCAAATTTAGACAATTGTGTTCAAAATAAAAAGCCAAATTTGGACAATTGTGTTCAAAATGAAAGGCCAAATTTGGACAATTGTGTTCAAAATAAAAAGCCAAATTTGGAAAATTGTGTTCAAAATGAAGTCATATTTGGACAATTGTGTTCAAAATGAAAAGCCAAATATGGACAATTGTGTTCAAAATAAAAAGCCAAATTTGAAAAATTGTGTTCAAAATGAAAGGTCATATTTGGACAATTGTGTTCAAAATGAAAAGCCAAATATGGACAATAATGTTCAAATCAAAAAGCCAAATGAAAGGTCATATTTGGACAATTCAAAAAGCCAAGTGAAAGGTCATATTTGGACAATTGTGTTCAAAATGAAAAGCCAAATATGGACAATTATGTTCAAATCAAAAAGCCAAATTTGAACAATTTTGTTTAAAATAAAAAGCCAAATTTAGATAATTGTGTTCAGAATAAAAAGCCAAATCTAGACAATTGTGTTCAAAATGAAAGGCCAAATTTGGACAATTGTGTTCAAAATAAAAAGCCAAATTTGGACAATTGTGTTCAAAATAAAAAGCCAAATTTGGACAATTGTGTTAAAAATAAAAAGCCAAATTTGGACAACTGTGTTCAAAATGAAAGGCCAAATTTGAACAGTTTTGTTCAAAATAAAAAGCCAAATTTGGAAAATTGTGTTCAAAATGAAAAGCCAAACTCAAAATATGGCTTCAATAGCATTTTATAGTTCAAGAACACGAATTTTTTCACTTTTACTCATTCAAAAATTCCAAATTTGATTTACATTTGTTTATTATTTCCAAATCACCCGTAACATTAGTTTTAATAATTTTCTTTAGTCAAATATTTAAATCAAAAACGATAAAGAATGAATTGGCGTGAATGTTTCAATGATCCTGTCCTTCACGTCGTCATTGTTGGTTTCCATCACAAAAAGGGTTGTCAGGTAAAAAAGATTAAAAGTTAATTAATTTAAAATTTTAAAAATTTAATTAACATTTTCAACTTTAATTTACAAGAATGTTGGTGCTCCAGATTTATGCCAATGTCTATACTTTCTGTATTAATGAATTTTTTTGTAAGATGTTAACAATTACTGTTAAACAGACACAAAATGAAAAGAAAATCAAAATATCCTCATTTCTCACTTATCTCATTAAATTTCTTTCAAAAAGTGTTCACCCCCACCTAATCTTCTTCAAATTGATCTTATTTTCAACTGGCAAAATGTACTTCATATTAGTAGTTAATTAGCAATGGTTCTTTTTAATTGTATTTTTATTGTATTTTTAATCATTCTTTTAACATTTTTGCTGTTTGTTACTTAGGTAGAGTATGCCTACCCACCCCTTATTGAAGGAAACAGTCACGAAAGTAATGAATGTCCTAAACAGTGGAAACATTTGCCATCATTGGCCTTACCTGATGGGGCCCACAATTATTCAGAAGGTCAGGGTCACTAAATCACAATTAATATTTTTATTACTGTTCTACTTAATTGTAATTATTAATTACAAAGATTCATTATTGCAATCTTGTAAAGGGTTTTTCAGTTAATTAATTTAATCAGTCAACTTAATGTTCAGTTAATTGATTAACTAAATTAATTATCTTGTGAATTATTTATTGTTTTTTTTTTAGATACAATTTACTTCCACCTACCATCTCTGGCCAACAGTTCGGTAACGATCTATGGAGTCTCGTGCTACAGGCAAATTGATGCATCTGTATGTTATAATGATACATAGTGATATATATATAATATAATGTATGTATACCATGATGTTGCTATTATTATTAACATTACATAGTTACATACCTACTCTCATATTCTATTATATTCTACTCTCATATTCATATTATATTCAAATTCTATTATGGTCTTTCTGCTTTCTTATTATTTTTGAATATTGAGAAGTAAATACATGCATACACATACATAAATACAAACACACACACACATATACAAACATATACAAACACACACATATATACAAACACACACATACACATACAGGAAGTTATCAATAAACAAGATGATGTCACAAGGAACACAGTACAGAAAAGTGTTTGCATATTAAGTAAATTGGTCTGTATGTGTGTGTGTGTGTGTGTGTTTGTGTGAGTGTGGTTTGATGTTTGAGTAGTACAAATAAAATAATTGTACCAACAAACACCTGTGGTTGTTGTTGTTGTTTCTTTTGTACAATCCTATCTCACTCCAACACTCCTCAGAAGCTTCAACAACAACAACCAACCACGACAAGAAACACGCAGTGCACGTGTAAATGCACGTGAAACAACACACCCTGCTAGGCCGGGATTTCGTCGTAATTGGACCCGCTCACTGCAATTAACAGTGCCAGGCACTTAACCGTTTTGACTATGACCCGGTGGTAATTAATTTTAGTCATCTGCTTTATTTGTAATAAGTTGAATGCATGGCATGTATGCTTTTATGTGTTTTTGAGTTTCTTTAAAAGTAGACAGTTTTTCTAGTTTTTGCTACCGTCATCTTCAATAAATTATCAATGCCATTCTTGCTGGCATCGTTATCGTTATTCCAATTGCTACATTACACTAACTCCACTAATTACACTAATTTCATTCTATAGCCAGTTTACGGCTTGATACAAGTGAAGTTGGAGATGATAACACACGCCTACTTCGTCGGCCGAGACTTCGGCCAGGTCGACCTGATGAAAGAAACGTATGAGACGCTGAATAAATCTCTCATCGAATCGCTCTCCCAACATTTTCATGTTCATTTGGGTTGAGGATTTTTGACTTGTTTGTTTGTGTGTGTGTGTGTGCTCTAAACATTTTCATGTTCGTTTGGGTTGAGATTTTTTGACTTTTTGTTTGTTTGTTTGTTTGTTTGTTTGTGTGTGTAGTATATATTCTTATTATATATATTTGGAATATATATATATATATATATATATATATATATATATATATATATATATTATAATTATTATTGTTAACATGATATATATATATATATATTATGTTATAATTATTATTATTTCAGGATTGTCATGTAGAGATATATTGAAACAGTTCAAGCACAAGCTACTCATCTTATTCAAATTATTAATGCTTGAAAAGAAGGTTTCTTTTTATTATTACTTACTGTTATTATTATTGTTGTTGTTATTGTTATGTTTGAATTACTGTATTTGAAATGTGAAGAGATCATTCAGCCTTTTATCATCACACACCTAGAAAGAAATGATGGTAATAATTAAATATATATATATATATATATATATATATATATATATATATATATATATATATATATAATGATATTTATATTTATTTATATGTAATATTTTTAATGATAATTATGGTGATGATAATTATTATTCTTGAAAATTATGATCATAATAATGATAATTAATAATAATTATAATTCAAATAATTTTTTTTACTAAAAGGTCCTGTTCTTTTCGTCACCTGTTAAGCCGATATGCACGACCATTCTTACCCTAGTTTCACTTTTCCCTGGTACGAGATGATGACGATGATGGTGATGATGACGGTGATGATGACGACGATGGTGATGATGGAGAATTATTAATTTTGATTATGCTGACAAAAGAATTAAAAGAATTAATTAGAATTAGTTTTCAATTTAATACGATTGAAAGTTCTTCGTTATGCTTTCATTTCCCGTTTCCCTCATCATCGTCGTCGTCATCTTCAGTATCATCACCATCAGTGTCATCATCATCATTATCATCATCAGCAACATCATCATCATCATCATCGTTAACTCGATGAAAACTTGTAATGTTCGCCTGACTAACACAACTATCGTCTATACGTTCGTCATCATCATCGTCATCATCATCGTCATCATCATCGTCATCATCATCGTCATCATCATCGTCATCATCATCGTCATCATCATCGTCATCATCATCGTCATCATCATCGTCATCATCATCGTCATCATCATCAACAACATCATCGTTATCATCATTATCAATAATGACGTTGGTTTCTTTCTACAGAGATGTTGGAGAACGGTCTGACTAACTCGTCTGATTACATTCCAATTGCGTTGTCGCCGCCACCAAAAATAACGCAACAACAGCAGCAGCAGCAGCAACAATCGCGACAACAATCGCAGCAACAGTCGCTGCGACAATCACAACAATCGCAACGACATCAACAGCCACCGGTTTCGGAGAAGTCTCTTGATTTACCCAACAACAAACATGACTCTAATAAAAATTATCACGACGAAGTTAATCGCAATAATAATAACAATAATAATAATAATAATAATTTTAATAATAAAGATTGTAATAATAATTGCATTGAAAATCACGAGACTTTGAGTCTTGCTGCTACTCATACTGCAACTGGCGATGATAGAATCACTTCGCTATTTTATACTGACTCTACTACTGTATATGTTAATAATAACAATACTGCTGCTACTACTGCTGCTGCTGCTACTACTACTACTACTGTGGCTGCTTCTACTGCTGCTACTGTTGCCTCTGCTAATCTAGCTTCTCATGTTCTTAAAACTGTCACTTATGATAAAACCATCATTACTTCATTTGGCACTCTTGCCAGTTCTAGTGCTACTATTAATACCACTACTACTGCTGCTGCTGACATTACAAGATCTGCAAATACTGCTAATACCTTTACTACTACATCTTCAAAATACTACCCAACAACAACTAGAGTTGTTCTCGATTGCAACAACAACAACAGACATTCCAACAGCAAAGAATTCGATAATTACATCAACATGAGTGACAACAGCAGCAACAACAACGACATTTTGAATGATAGCGTCATATTCATCCAACCAAAAAGTTTTAAAAGTACAGCAGCAGCAACTACTACTACTACTACGACTTACACAACTACTACTACCACTTCCGCTACTATTACTACTACTACTAGTGCTACTACTAATAATACTACTACTACTACTGCTACTACTACTACTAATACGACTGCTAGTGCTACTATTACTAAGATCTCATCTTCAACAACAACAACAAAGACAACGAATAACGATGATAGGAGAGCTATATCAACAGTAATTCAGAGGCAATTTTCGATAAATAATGTCCAAGAAAATGCCCTCATACATAGACGTACATCGTCGTCGTCGTCATCATCAGGACCGCAGATAAGTGGTGGTGGTTGTGGTAGTAGTTGTAGTAGTAAAAATGTTGATAGTAGTAGTAGTAGTGGCAGTGGTAGTTTTAATAGATTTGTCGACATCAACATCACTACAATGGCGTCCGGTTCGGCGTTTCTGACAAAATCAAGTGAAGCTACCGCAACGGCTACAATGACAACTACAAAAACGTCATTTCCAACGTCGTCGTCAACCACAGCAACGACATCAACAACAGCAGTAGCAACAACAACAGCAACAACAACAACTTATTCTTCTCTTAACACTACAGACAACGTTTTGTTTGGCAGCTGTGCACGCAACAACAAACCCAATGAAAGACTTGATTTTCCATCAACAACAACGTCATCATCAAAAACATCAACAACAACACTAACTACAACGAGTTCTGAAGATGGTTCTCTGAATTTTGTTGAAAATTACTTTGGTATATATATTATTCGATATTTTTAACCATTTTATTTCATTTCATCAGAAAGAGGAGGAGAGAGAGAGAGAGAGAGAGAGAGAGAGAGAGAGAGAGAGAGAGATACTACTAACTAAACTTACAAACACATACACATATAACATTTACAATTACACGTACATACATAGATAGACACACACACACACACACACACACACGCGCGCGCCCACAGATAAAAACTCCGAAGACTTATCATCACTTTACAATGATGTCGACGATGAGGATAATGATTCAAAGCTCTGGTACTCTAGCGGACACAAACTTCAAATCAAGGATGATGACGACGATGATGGGGACGTAAAAAATGATAATGTTCCTAATAATGATGGCCGCGGTGATGCCAATGATGATGATGATGACGACGATGACTTTGAGGCTGGTGGTTATGATGATGGTTTTGCGTCGCCTAGCGTCCAAAATAATCCCAAGGTTAGTTTTCTTCGATGATTAGAAAAATATTTTTCAATTTATTTGTTTATTGATATTTTAATTAATTAATTATTATTAATAATCTTTTTTTTTGACAGAAATTACCAATCACAATGAGTGGTAAAAAGTTGACCATAGATAAAACAGCAGAAGTTATGCAAATGATGTCACCAACGGCGGCCACGCTAACACCGCCTGTTTCAGATTCAAAGAACCTTTCTAGAGATTCGTCGAAGTCGATTAAGAAACATCGAACCAATCTGAACGTGAATGTTAAAGATTATGGAATGCCTCTTTCCCTTTTTACTAAAGTGAGTTTGGTATGATGTTATCAGTACGTGTTTTTCTTTTACTGAATAATATTAATGGAAAAAATTTTGATATTTATAATATCTTTTATTGTTTATTTATAAAAAATGTTGTTTATTTATAGCAATGATAATCAATTAGTTTTTAAAGCGCTATCTCCGCGATGTTCAACAGCGCTCCTCAATGAATTTTGAAAACAGATGGGTCTTGAGATCCGCTCTGAACTTCGCAAGTGATGGAGAAGTAGTTAGAGAAGTAGGTAGAGAGTTCCATAGAAAAGAGCCAGAAAAAGCAAATGCAGATTTAGCAAAGGAGTGTTTAACACAAGTTAACAAGAGGTGAGAACATGAAGACGATCGTAAACCGGCTCGTTTAGGTTCAATTAATATATCTGATAAGTACTTAGGAAATAATTTAGATTGAGACTTGTACATAAACGTGCAAATTTTAAAAATTATTCTAGAGAACAAGATATGGAGATATATGAGAAAAGAAAGGTGCACGTCAACTAGACGAGCAGCAGAGTTAAAAGCTTTACTTAAAGGATGGAGTATAGAATCAGGAAGGCCATAGTAGAGCGAGTTAAAATAACCAATCCTAGATAAGACTAACGAAGTAACAAGAAGGAGAAGAGTAGGATTGTCAAGAAAAGGCAAAAGTTTTTTTATTCTACGTAGATGAAAGTAAGAACTTCAAGCAACACTATTAATCTGAGAAGAAAGAAACATGCTAGAATCAAAGATAAAACCTAGACTACGAAACTTGTGAGAAACATCAAGAGTTTTAGAATCAGGTAAGATAATATGAGAAATAGTAATAAAGTGTTTAGAGTTATTAGACAAATTAATTCAAATTTTGAAGAATAAAGTTTAAGACACATAGAGTCAGACCAAGCGGTAATTGAAGAAATACATAGAGATAGAAGTATAAATACAAGAATCATAAGCATATAGTTGAATAGTGAAAGAAAAATTATTAATAATACGAGGTAGTTCAGATGTAAAGAGTATAAATAAATAGAAGGGGGCTTAGGGCTAACCTCAGGTTAGAACCCTGAGGTACCCAAAAAGTAAAGGTAGAAGAGTTAGAATTAGAATTATTGAGAACAACAGAAGAAAAATAGAGGTAGCAAGGAGTTAGAATTTAAATAAGATAATAATTGGTTATAAACTACTTTTTCTATTATTTTTGAAATGAAACTAATATTGCCAGTTATAAAAAAAATAGTCGCTAACAATAAACATAAAAATTATTCAAGAAAATAAAAAAATAAATTGGATGATTAATTATTTAAAACATGAAAAAATTTCCTCTCTAGGGCGTCCTATGCCATCCCTATTTATCGCTACACCTGTACGATATACTGTCAGATGCTTGTGTCAGGGGTTTCGTCATCGGGGCCACCAATGCCCTCTTCATGCAGCGCAAACAATATCTTGACGTCATCGTTGAGGTCGCCGAGTGAATTAGTGAATGGATTGATGAATGAGTGAATGGATGGATGGATGGATGCATTATCTAATGAATGTATGAATGAATGCTTGACCAAATGAATAAAGAGTGAATGAACGAATGAAATCTCGAGTTGACATTTACAAAACAACCAATGATAAACAAGTCACAAACCTGATTCATCTTTCCCCTGACCAATCAGCTTGCAGAGTTCAAGGTCGAAATATTGGATCCAGAACTGAAGAAGGCCCTTCAGCTATCGACAGCTGACCTTCGATTCATTGATAATTTGGTCAAATGTGTAGATGATGATAACAAAGGGGATCCTTTTCTCGATAATACAGGTCTTTTTCTCCACTCTCCCTCTTTCTCCTTTCTTTCTCTCTCTCTCTCTTTCTTTCTCTCTCTCTTTCTCTCTCTCTCTCTCTCTCTCTCTTTCTTTCTCTCTCTTTCTTTCTCTTTCTTCCTCTTTTCTTTCTTATCTGTCTTTCAATCTATATTAGATGGAGTTTAATCAAGAAAATTGCATGATTTTATTTTATTTTTTATTTTTCAGTTACAACGCTATATAAATGACTCATTATTATAAATGTTTTCTCATCTATTAGGCTGGGAAGGAGGCGACGATTGGGTAAGGAGTCAGTTCAAATCCTACCTACTCTCTCTCCTGGCCACCGTCGCTAGCCGGGGCTAGTAATTATAATAATTTATTCATGAGTTTGTTAATTTATTCATAGATTTTTTGTCACTATTCATTTGTTATCTTCATGGTAAACATTAAGTGCAATTTCTTAATATTCATTGTCATTTTATCTTGTATATTAAATATAATCTTTATATGCATATCTATTATTTATTTATTTATTGAATTTATAGATAAATTTGTTTAATTTGTTATTATTTTTAATGTAAATTTACTTGATTAATTAATTTTATTTAGAAGAAAGACTGCTAGAAGATTTTAACACTAGCTTTATATCAGCCTGGAAGTTGACCAACAATTATAAACAGTGGCAAGCAAAAGGACCATATCAACATCTAGCTGATATCAAACCGGAGTCAGTTTCGCTGATTTGATTGGTTGAATTTAGAAATTTTGTTATCCAATCATCTATTAGAGATTGAATTTTTAAATTAAACTGGTGTCTGATTGGTTGTTCGGTTGAATTTTTGAATTAAATCGTCCAATCAGGCACGTTTGTAAAGGTCAGCTGAGCATGTCAGATGTTAAACTGAAAATTAATCAGTAAGCTATTTGATATTTATAATCTTTGTCATCATCATCATTTTCTGTATCATCATCATAATCATTTTCATCATAACCATTACTTACTATCGTCGTCAGCATTGTTTGTTAACAACACCATCACATCACATCACATCATCATTCTTCCTCTCCTTAGCAAACATTATTATCATCACGTCATCCTCATCTTTCGAGTCATCATCGTCGTCATCATCACCATCATCATGATCGTTACCACTGCAGAGTAATGAACTTAAGGAGTGGAAACAGCAAAAAAATTAACGCCGTCGTCAACCAAACTGAAAAGGTTGTCAGCCAGACTGGCAAGGCAGTCGGTTGGTTGATTGATTGTTATTATGTTAATCAGACTACATCTCATGAATATTAATTAATTATTCAATTAATTAATTATTCTATTAAAGGTGCAGCAGTTGGTCTAGCAAAGTCCACTGTTTCCAGCTGGTTCAGCGGATTAACTGCACAAAAAGAGCAGTAATATTAACCCTATTAATAATAATTATCATAATAATAATTATTATTATTTATTATCATAATAATTATTATTTATTATAATAATAATAATTATTATTATTATTATTATATTAATTATGCTGCTACAACTTTTTACCATCATCTTCTCGTTAATGTAGACATTCAAATTTTAAGCTATTGTACAGTTTATATTAAATGTGGATTGTTGTATACTGAGGCGAGTGACAGATGTGGATGGCGTCGAGGGGTATTTCGGTTTCATCATAGGTAGCCAAACGGGAACCCCCGAAAATGCCGTCTAAACGTGTGTTGTTGTTGTTGTTGTGTGGATTGTTGTATATGTTACAATTTATATATATATATATATATATATATATATATATCGTTATATAAATATATATATATATATATTTTTTTTTGATGAAAATTACAGCATGTTACTTGAAAATGATTTACGATCAACCGTTAGAAAAATCGAAAAGTTAAATTACAAGTTAACTAACGCCGAACATGCAGTGATTTTCATCAATAGTTGCATTTCTGACAGTCTTAATCCAATATATATATATATATATACATATATATCGTTATATATATATATTGTTATATATATAATATATATAAATTGTTATATATATGTGTGTATATATTCCCAACGAAGCACTTGATCTTATACTGACATCATTCGCTAATTTATTTCTAAATTTATTTATTTAGTAATGGAAATGTAATCTAATGAAGTCCTGGGTCGTTATTGGAAAGGGAGAGAGAAAAATTTATCAATTTGACAACAGCCTATATTTAGTTGATCTATGGAGGTTATATAAGAATCAAATTCTAGATCAGGGTTGGGCAAACTTTTTGCTATGAGGGCCGCATTAAGAACAATTTTACATTTGAAGGGCCGCATATGTACTGAAATAGCAAATATTTTAGCTGAGTCATTTTTCCATTGTTTAATAAGAAAAATATTTTTTATTATAGCTAATAATTATATTGAATAATTTAATGATAATCGTCAACAATGACGCCCTAGTAACTAAACTTTCATGAAAGAAGTGGGCTGGGAAGGATTTTCAACCAGACGAAAAGGAAAACACTTCAAAATAAACGATCGACAACACATTCATTTACCATCCTATAACGTAAAATGAACCACAGATCATGAGACTTGTAAATTTATCGAATGTCTGTGTGTGTGTCTGTATGTCTGTGTGTGTGTCTGTATTTGTATATCTAGGTGTGTGTGTTTGTATGTGTGTGTGTATGTCTGTATTTGTATGTCTGTGTGTGTGTTTGTATGTATGTGTGTCTGTCTGTATGTCTGTGTGCCCCAAAGATTAATGAATAATTCGGCAGAAATAAATCTTACAATCAACCTGATAATTAATTGATCTACTAATCAATTAATTATAATCAATTAATTATATATATATATAATATATATATATATGTATATATTTATATATATCTTTATATATTGCTTGTATTAATGGATAATGTGTTTAGTTTAGCAATAAGCTATATAAATATATATTTATTATATATACGTTAAAAATATAAGAAAAAATCTATCTATTATGCCTACAAAAGACATGCATGTGTGTGTGTGTGTGTGTGTGTGTGTGTGTGTGTGTGTGTGTGTGTGTGTGTGTGTGTGTGTGTGTGTGTCACAATATTAACAATTGCAGTAGAGAAGTTCTACAAAAATAAGTTTGCAAGTAATGACTCTATTCACTACGGAATGAATGAATGAACAAACAAATGAATGTTTGATTGATTGAGAAAAGGAAAGAGATAAAGAAAAAGAGAGAGAGACAGTAAAGAAAGAGGAAACGAAAGGATGGAGATAGATGT